TGAAATAGCTCTTGAAAATGACAGCATGCCTTTATTCCAAAATGCCACTCCTATAATTGTCCAGTGGAACTTTCCCAGGCTTGATAGAGCATTCCAGTCTGCTGTAGGCACTTTGGGTCAGCTCTCACATTAAAGTTTCTCTTTCTCCCTCTCTCAAAATCAATGAAAATATTTTAAAAAAATAAATTAAAGAATTATAGTAAAAACATGTTTGTGGGCTGTGAGGTATTGATCAAAAAGTAGATTAAATTTTGTAGTTTTTGAGGTAGTGAGCAATGCTGATGATGAAAATGAAGTGGATAAGAAAGGCAGAATAAAGGGGAAAGTTCACTAGAGACAAGAAAATCAAGAAACTTAGAGATGGCATCAGATAGTTCAATGGATGCTGAAAACAGTGATCAGAAGGTCAGGAATTCAGATAGAAAGAAAAACAAAACAAAGTGCTAATCTTAAGTACATGGAGAATGACCAAGCAATTGGCAAATGACAACAGATGAGCCTGATGGCATAAGCCTCGAAGGAGCAGGGAATTTTTTCACAACAGGGTCGGGAGAGAATAATTATCTGGAAGTGGCACTGGGGAGGCAGAAGGCACCTCCTGATCCTATGGAATGAGCAACATGAGCATGCTGCAGGGAAAGCTGCATTCTCAGGGACAGGCCAGTTTCAGTTAAGGCAAGGAGGAGGAGAAAACATTCTGAGAGAAGACTGTTCTCTGAAAGTGGGATGGGAGTTGCTAATAGTGTAGCTTTCTAGGTAGGTTTTTTAAAAAAAATAAAAAATAAATAGAAAAAATATATATATATATATCAGGTCTTCCACTTGGGAAGAACAAGATGTGGCTAAGAGCTTATAACCCTGATCCATGTTCTTCATAATTCACCTTCCCCATCATACCACCATCACACTGGGTTTAGGGTATGCTGTATCCCTTTTACCAATATTGCCAGAGTATAGTCTCATACTCTTAATTCTCCCATAACGCACCTGAAACCAAATTGAAATCCATTCATATATTTCTCCCTTCTCTTTTTCCCTATTTTTCCTTTCTTTAAATCATCCATTCATTCTGTGAGACTTTCAAAGCCCACAAGGAAATAGCTATAAAGTAACATGCAACAAGATGTCATTGCTGATAAAGAATTATTACTCATCAACTCTTGAATTCTGTACAGGGAGCCCTACCTAACTAGTTCATTTAGTATCTATTCTCTACCTCTTTATAATACCTTCAAGAACTTCTAGAGATCTAAGTGTCCTGACTCAAGAGAGGAGATCCAAAGTAAGAAAGATGCTTCCTTTCCCTCGCTGTAAGACCTGCCTTTCAGGTTTCAGTTTTCAGCCTGAAGGCCTGTCTCTTCCCCTAAATCAGCGATCTTAAACCCATGTGCTGCAAGAATTTAGACAACATGCAATACCTGACTGTTTAGTCAGGGGCACCGAACTCTTTTCCCTTAGATTGTCAAATTAAAAAATGACAACAGCCAACACAACAATAGTCCTGTGTGAATGAATGAAAATTATACCTTCTTTTTTTGTGTGAGATCAGCAAAATATATATATATATATGTGTGTGTGTGTGTGTATATGTGTGTATATATATATATATATATATATATATATATATTAGAGGCCTGATGCATGAAATTCATGCAAGGCACTTGGTCCTCACAGCCCTGGCTGCCTTGTGGCGCCGTGGCCCTGCAGCCCTGCCCACTGGTCGTTCCAGAAGGTCGTTCTGCCGCCTGGTCTAATTAGCATATTAGCTCTTTATTATATAGAATATTTTAGTGTGCCACAGAATTTGAGTAGTTTATCTGTGCCATGAGATGAAAAAGGTTGAAAATCACTGTCCTATTGTTCAATTATATTATTATTATATAGAAAATGGTAGGTGTCATATTAAGACCCTTTATCCTAACATCATTAATAAGGGCTGTTTTATAGCATAATTGCATATACTTTGCTGTAATTTTCTTTTACAGAATTATTTGCTAGCTGTATTCCAAACGTTTTCAAAGTTAAATCAAGGTACTAGAACATATGGCATTTCCTACAGTGTAAGACATGCCCCTCCCTAATATACAAGCATTTATTTCAACATTGAGTTTTCAACCACAAAAGTATGTTTTCTTGTTTGTTTGTTTTTATCCTCACCTGAGGATTTTTATTTTATTTTATTGATTTAGAGAGAGGAATGGAGAGAGAGAGAGAGAGAGAGAGAGAGAGAGAGACATCAATGTGAGAGTGAAACATCAATTGGTTGCCTCCTGTACTCACCTCAACGGGGGTTCAAACCGGCAACCTAGGTATGTGCCCTGACTGGGAATTAAACCCACCACGTTTTGGTGCACAGGATGACGCTCCAAACAACTGAGATGCCCAGCCAGAGCAAATACATGTTTTTAAAAATTATACAAATGGTAAATTAAGTAGGATAGGGAATAAAAGTAATGCAGATTTAGTGCTGAATAAATTAAAGCTTTCAATCTTATAACCTTAGGTTTCTCCTAAGGCACTGTACATCAGCATAAACTCACACATATAAAGATGAGTAGCAAAACAATAACAAATCAGTTATCCCTCAATTATTTAAAATATATTTTATTGATTTTTTACAGAGAGGAAGGGAGAGGGGTAGAGAATTAGAAACATCAAAGAGAGAGAAACATCGATCAGCTGCCTCCTGCCCACCCCCTACTGGGGATGTGCCTGCAACCAAGGTATATGCCCTTGACCAGAATCGAACCTGGGACCCTTTAGTCCGCAGTCCGACGCTCTATCCACTGAGCCAAACTAGTTAGGGCTCAATTTTTTTTTTTTTAAAGCAACAACTGAACTGAACTGCATTATTTGTAGCCTGCTAAAGAGAGTGGGAGATTTTTATTGTCAATGGCTGTATAGTATAGTAGTCTTTGAGAAAATATTTTTAAAATATAATCACCTGAGAATCTCTCTGGTGGGAATTCTGAGGAGAAACAGGAAAGCAGGAGAAATGGCAAGAAAGGGGAATAAAATAACTTTCTTCACACTCCAAGCAAATGGTACTTGTGGTATCGGGTCACAGAACTGAGCTGTAATTTCAGCAATAGGGATAATGAAGGTTTGCAAAACTTGAGAATACTAGATAACCCAGTGGTCCTCTGCAAAGACCTTTGATGCATCAGCAAGTAACAGATGAGTTTGCGTAAGGATGATCTCAATTCGAAAAATCATTGACAACTTGGAAACTGAGACACATGCAATCTCTGGCTCATATAACACTTAGTGCTTTCCCTCCAATAAAATTAATCAGTATAACAGATATTCAGATATTAAGTGACATCTATCATTTGCCAGGTAATATGATTATTAGGTACATAAATGAAAAATATTTGATCCTCAAGGAATCTTGAATTTAGAGGGAGACATACTAGTAATTCCAACCAAAACATTTAAAAATTGACATACTGGCAGTATGCTAAAGGTCTACTACAGTGGTTCTCAACCTTCCTAATGCCGCGACCCTTTAATACAGTTCCTCATGTTGTGGTAACCCCCAATTTCATTGCTACAAATTGAACATAATTAAAGCATAGTGATTAATCACAAAAACAATATGTAATTATATATGTGTTTTCCGATGGTCTTAGGCAACCCCTGTGAAAGGGTCGTTCGACTCCCAAAGGGGTCGCGACCCACAGGTTGAGAACCGCTGGCCTAGTGGAATGTAAGAGGAGTGCCTAAGAGAGGTGGAGGGGGAGAGGTCGATGGCAGAAAAGGCTTCTCACATATATGATTTTAGATCTGACTCTTGAAGGAGACATAGAAGTTTGCGAGGCAAAAACAGATAGAAGACATTCTAGGTAAAGAAAACAACATATGTAAAGGCAAGAAGAGAAAACATATCAAAAGGCAAGAAATATACAACAGTATAGGGCAGGCCTTGCAGCCTTGCCTCAGGCTCAGTCAGAAACAAATGGGACATTTGAAAGATTATCTGAAAAGGGTTTAAGGAAGTAACTATTTACAGAAATGTGGGAGAGGTCAAGGGCACCAACAAAGGATGGTGAAACTATTCAGGGATAGTAACAGTGGGAAGCCACTGACCACCTGGCCACAAGAGGCAACTGAGGGGATGAAATCTCCAGAACCTGGTGAAAGCCGTAGCCATGGGGGGTGGAGCTACCCAACAGGAGCCTTAATCAGAAGCAGAGGAACACAACCAAGTCACAGCCTGGCTTGGGGTTGGGGGATGTCCATACCTGTTCTCCCTTCCAGTCTCCAGCAGGCACCTCCCACTGGCTGAACCACGGCAAGGGAGTCTGGGAAAGTTTTCTGTAAAGGGTCAGCTTCCTGAGGCCCAGAGAGTGGAGACTAAATCTGGAGACGCAAAAGATCACTTGCATAACCTAGGCCAGTATGGTCCAGTTGGATGAGTGTAGTCCCGTGCACCAAAAGGTTGCCATTCAGAGCATATGTCCAGGTTGCAGGCTTCAGTGTGGGAGGCAGCCGATGTTTCTCTCTCTCCCCCTCTCCCTTTGTCTCTCCCTAAAATCAATAAAAACATTTCTTCAGAAAAATCATTAGCATACCTCATCTCACCTCCAATTTTCTGTTTCTTTAATAGGGATAGCATAGGACTATATACTAGCATATAGCAAGTTTGCCCTTGTTTCTTCTCTAATAGAAAGGAGCTTATTCAATTTAACGACTGGGAGATACTCTTAAGATCTGGTTTGCTAGCAACCTCTGCCCTTCACCAAATCTTTCTATGTGCCTATTTTTAACCACAATGATATAATAGTTATTCTTTCATATATTTAAAAATAATAATCCTAAGACAGTGTGAGATGCTTATTTGTCTATCTAAAAATAACGTTTGTTGTCAGTGGTTGTTCACTTAAGACACTATATACTTGATTTATAAATTCTAGTTAAATCACAGTAAGGTATCTTCAAATTTTATTATGGTGCAACTTGTCCTTTTCCAACATTTTTTTTTCCTCTTTATTTTTCAGATCAATAACTCGATCTTATTACCGCAACTCAGTTGGTGGATTTTTAGTATTTGACATTACTAACCGACGATCTTTTGAACATGTGAAAGATTGGCTGGAAGAAGCAAAAATGCACGTACAGCCATTTCGGATTGTATTTTTGCTAGTGGGACACAAATGCGACTTAGCTTCAATACGTCAAGTTACAAGGGAAGAAGCTGAAAAGCTGTCAGCGGACTGTGGTATGAAGTATATAGAAACCTCAGCAAAAGATGCTACCAATGTTGAGGAATCCTTCACTATCTTGACAAGAGACATCTATGACCTTATCAAAAGGGGAGAGATTTGTATTCAGGATGGCTGGGAAGGGGTGAAAAGTGGTTTTGTTCCAAATACTGTGCATTCTTCTGAGGAAGCAGTGAAGCCCAGGAAAGAGTGCTTCTGCTGACTTCAGACATGCCAAAGCACCGTCAAGAACAGGTGGACGTCATTCCAGGATAGAGACCACCATCAGCACTGTTTTGTAAGGTGTTTGATCCAGAGCACTATGCTTTCATGTTACACTGCAAGACTCGGTGTTTTGCTAAAATATCAGGCAAAGCAGACAACTTTTTCTTGAAACTATCAAATTACCCCCTTTCCTACTTTGTTAGCTTATAGCTGAACTAATGTCCAAATATGTCAATATTACTCATTTTTCTTGACAGTTTGAAATGGGGTTTTTGTGCATATATAGTCTGATTGAAAAGATTTTATCAGGAATTATGTTCTCTTGTTCATTTACTAATATTGAATAGTAAAGTGATTTAAAAGTGCACTGTTCACTTACAAATCAAACAATCTCAGAGTTATCAACTAGACTAAAATAGCAGTTCCTTATTTAAGGTACAGTACCAGGTTTTTTAAACATTTAAAATATTTATCTTCCCTTAATTTTGCCTAAACATAAAAAAATAAGTTTTATACTTTTTTGTTCTGATTTATTGCTCCTGAAAAGTTTATGTTTTATGAAGCTATATAAGGATCCAAGCAAAATACTGTATTGCAAATATTTATAAAGATAAAAACAAAGGACCACTTGTCAGCGAATGTTTTGATGTTATAGCATACTATTTTAGACAATAAAAAGAAATGTATTTCTATACTGACATTTTCAAAAAAGTAAATGCAATTTACCTTGAACTAGTGTCAAAATTACCATATTTTCCCGTGTATAAGACGCCCCCATGTATAAAATGCCCTCCACTTTTCCAACCCCAAATTAAGAAATCAATATTTTAAACATTTTGCTGATTTTCCTCATAAGGCCTTCTTCTTTTTTGGCATCTTAAGGTGTTGTTCTTTTTGTTTTCTCCACTGTCTGATCATACACTCAGTGGGTGGAGGTCCAAATTGTCTCTCTGCAGCTCTATTTCCATGCACTTTTGCATAGCTGATTTCATTTGAATTTTGCAGAGTAAGACAATCGCTTACCGGTGTTTATCTTTTCGTTTTCTGACATCTTTATGGGCTCAGAATGCTCTGGTCCCTGTTGCATCTGCACACTCTCCCCCTCCACCTCCAATTATGGCATCAGCTGACATCGGTAACAATAAGGTTTTTTTGTGAATGGAGGAAGCATGTTTGACAAGGTATGGGCAGCTATGCACTTGCAGGCTCCCTCCTTGGCTGACTTCCATGTATAAGACGACTCTCAATTTTCAGTCTAACAATTTTAGAAAAATATAGCATCTTATACATGGAAAAATACGGTATCAATATAGGTAAGTATAGAATGTTTTTAGTAACAGCTTTTTTGTCCAAGTAAATTTCTAAATTTCCCCATTTCCAATACAAGTGTAGGAAAGATTTTTCTGGTTAGATGTTAGATACATTTAGCATTCAAGTTATATTTTACATCTCACCAGTAAAAGTAAAGATAAAATAATGAGTTGAGTCTGCAAAATGACTTTTGAGTTTGCTAATTTTGAACTTACTGGTTAAATTCCCCTCCTGGAAGGGACATTTTGATGACAATCTCAAATATTTTATAGCATACATTTCTATTCTGTTCTGTAAACCATTCCTATCACAGAGTGTCACCATGACGTTGACTTTTTGGAACCATGAGGTTTTTACTGTTAAACTGTAGTAGCTTCATTTTGTTTGAAAACCAAAGTGGTATGGTGGAAAGAATATTTAAGGGGGAATCAAAAAACCTGGGTTCTAAGCTTGCTTTTACTATACTTTCTCACTTAACCTCTCTAAGCATCGTTTTCTCACCTGTAAATTGAAGCTGATGACCCATTTATGGAATTACTTTGAGAATCAACTGAATCATGTGAAAAAGCTTTGTAAGTAGAGAAAGCAGAATGCAAATGTGGGATTGGTGTCAGCTGCTCATGGGCATGCTGTTCTATTTACAATGGATAAGAATGTGGTTTTCTCTTATTCTTTCCCTTCAGAGAGAAAGCAGAAGGAGGTGCATGTTCTCATGGACCTGGGGGAATTCTTGGTTTGATGAGTACCCTCTGCCCTCTTATCCTGAAGCACCACTCCTCCAAAGAGCAAATGCTAGAAAGGGAAATCCCAGGAGACTTAATTGAAGCAAAAGTCATATTGGAATCTAGTTTTTGTGCATCTTCAAGGTAGATATTATATTTTTAAATACATGTACATTTTCTAGGTTCATGTAAGTATTTTTAATAGTGCTTATGGAGAGAAAAATATAAATTATAACATCACTATATAATTTTTGAATATTTATATTGTCAACATTTTCTTGATAGCCTTAATTTCATGTGAGTTCACACTATAATTGACCAGATAAGAAAATACCTGTCCCCCAAAATGTGAAGTAATCTATTTTTACTGTTAAAAATTTAAATCTTATAATTTTTCATCAGTCCAGAATGGCATAAACTCAAAAAGTGAATATCTAACAAAAGGTGAATAAAGTTAAACACCTAAAATATAAAATGTGATTTAACTTTCAGTGGACACATTTTTTAATACTAATATTTGGGCTAAAGGGTATGATCTGTTCCAAGATTCAGAGTATAATTAAAGAATCAGAAGAAACAAAGGGGAAGGCAGAGCCCCAAAAGTTGATAACTACCAAGGTCACACGTGAGCAGAAGCAAGCCTAGAACACTGGTTCTCCTTACACCTTAGTCGGTGTTTTTTCCATTGCCATGGTGTGCCAAGTGTGTATGTGTTTGTGTGTGCAGTGGAGAAAAGGGGAAATGAGAGCTAACTGAATCCTCAAAATACTAAAATTGGGCTAAATCATTTTGAGGTTATAGAGGAGCTATTTATGGTAATACAAGATTGCCAAACATGTGTATAAATGTAGCCAGATATCTTTATCCAGATATACATATATGTATACATATATAAGGATATAAAATAGCTGACCTATTTTCTTACACATCATTATACAGAATATGAATAATAATGCCAAAATAGTAAAAATATTTGTTCACGACCAAAGTGTCTTAAAAGTCAGATATACATAAATTAGATACAATTGAAATTATTTAATTTAAAATTTATTTAATTTAAATTTAAGAATTTTTAACTACTGAATGATGTAGCTAACTACTAAATATTTTAAATAAATGTGATTTTAAAAAATAAAAAAACTATCCAATCATATGATACACTTGTCCCTGACAGAAATTGTTCATCTTGAGTTGAATTAACACTTTTAGTGCAAGTGGTGATGTGATGGTTCATTAAATGAGAAGCTTAAGCCAAAATGATTATGTAATCAGAGTGTTTTTAAATGTGACCTTTATATACATAATAGTAGCAAACAAGATTTCTTGAGCCTGGAATCTTGAGAGTTTACTCTATGATCTTTGTGTGTGGCAACCAAAGCCATCTTTATTATTAAGATAACTTTACCAATCTATCCAACTTTACAACATCAAAAAACTGAATCTGTGGATTAATAAAATCATTTTAAGAGTGCTTTTGTCAGATTTTATATTGCCCTTGGTTCAATTAATTACAAAGCTTCCATTGACTTCAAAAAGTGCACTACACAGGTATTTGAATAATTTCCTTAGGTCTGACATAGTGAGAAGGATTTGAAAGACTAAAGGCCCATTTCATAAGCTAACTCGTTTTTCCCAAGTAACTGCCTGGAGAGATTTAGTCGAAATGCAAATAAAACATGTAATCTTTAAAAGGAAAAAAAAAAGATTGTAAAGCTTTAAATTTAGATCCTTTGTATTTTAATATAGAATACATTCCCAACTAGAAGCTAACTTGGAAATTCTATAGCTGAAAAATAGCTCTCTCTGCTTCAGAATCTTTCTAAATCCAAATGTATTTCTATAATCTTAATAACCAATGAAAGTAGACACATGAGTGATGGGCTATGACAATCTCTATCAATCACTACACTATCTAGTTCACTTACTACATGTAATTAGGGGGGGAATAAATGAAAAAAAAATTAAGATTTTAAAAATTAGCCCTAGCTGGTTTGGCTCCTTGGATAAAGTGCCAGCCTGCGGACTGAAGGGTCCCAGGTTCAATTCCCATCAAGGGCATGCACTTTGGTTGCCAGGCTCCAGGGCAAGTGTGGGAGATAACCAATTAATGTGTTGAATATGTCTCTCTCTCACATCAATGTTTCTGTCTCTCCCCCTCCCTTCCACTCTCTAACAATCAATGGAAAAATATCCTAGGGTGAGGATTAACAACAACAACAAAATACTTTTAAAATGTTCCTTATTGTTATCTCTCTGGGTAAATTTTTTTGCCTTTTTTTGAAATAGTGCCTAAAACATTGTGACATTCAGTAACTTTTAATTGATGGTTATTATATTGAATTAACCCTATTAAATTTTGGTTCCATATATAGTTTTAATTTATAGGTGCCATTCCATTCCATGAAACAAACATGTTTTGCTAAAATCATATGTTGTCTTCTTTTTAGAATGACAGCCAATGGAAGATATGGTATAAACTTTTTTGAAGTATGTTATTTGTGTTATTTTATTTTAAATAATGAATAAAAGAATGAGAATGAGAACTATGATTGTTACATTATCCATCTTTAGTGAACCATCTTTAGTGGTGCTTTTAAAACAAGCAACTATTTAACTGCAATTAAATGCATGTGTGTGTATTCACAAATTAAGTGCAAATAAGAATCAATTAAACAGATGGAATTTCTTATATATTACATAATACCTTTGTGGACTGTGGGTTAGAACCCCATAACCAAATATTAGTATACTAGAAGGCCAACACAAGAAATCTCGTGGCCCCACCCACGGCCCTACCCCATTTGCAGCCCTGCCCACCCACACTGGTCTTTGATCATTACAGTGTTAGGGCCACAGGCCTTTTATAATATAGATATTCAGCAAAATGTATGTATAAAGTAAACATAAAATCTAATGAGTTCAGGTCAGATATTTTTGTTGCCAAATGAGTTATCAAAAGAATTAGGTTTTTAGAGCTTTTGGATTTCAGAATTATTTAAAAGAAATCATGGTCATGTACTATGCTTTAAAAGATAATTCAGAATTTGTGACTTTTTCTAGTTGGTTCATCTTTGTCATGCTTCAGCCTTGCACACAGTAGAAACTTTTTAAATTTTGAATTGAACTGTTAAATCACATGCAAAAAATGTTCATAACTTCTGCACATATAACCAGTTACACATGTAAAATGCAGGGTGGGACAAACGTAGGCTTACATTTGTTTGTATGGAAAATAATACAATCCTATATAATAAAAGAGAAACATGCAAATTAACCATCCCTCTGCTATGCTCAAGCCACACCCACAAGCCACACCAACAAACCAATCAGGAGCAAGTATGCAAATTAATCCAACTAAGATGGTGGTGGCCAAAGAGCTGGAGCGAGCAGGAGGCTTGGGTTGCCCCCGGCGATGGAGGAAGCCAAGCTTCCAGCCTGCCCTGGCCGGCCCTGGGCTATGCTTAAGGCTACAAAGTTTCAATTATAGAAGATAAATAAATCCCAGGAAAAAAAGGAGAGGCTGGGAGCTTGGGTCACCAGGGGGCGTGGCCATCCTGAAAACAGCCATCAGCCCCTCACCCAGGCTGGCCAGGCACCCCAGCAGGGACCCCCACCCTGAAGGGGGTGTGGCCAGCCTGAAAACAGCCCTCAGCCCCTCACCCAGGCTGGCCAGGCACCCCAGTGGGGACCCCCACCCTGAAGGGGGTGTGGCCAGCCTGAAAACGGCCCTTAGCCCCTCACCCACGCTGGCCAGGCACCCCAGCGGGACCCCCACCCTGATCCAGGACACCCTTCAGGGCAAACCAGCTGGCCCCC